TACTCAGCCATAAAAAATAACAAGACCCTGGAATTTGATAGAAAATGGTCAGATATGGAGGATCTATTGCTGAGTGAAGTAAGCCAGGCTATGAAAGAAAGAAAGAAAGGTATTGTATGTATCCACATAATATATACCAACTATCCACACTCTATGGTGGAGAGCAAAATATTGGAGAACATAAAAGCAGTGAAAATACTTAAGGAGAATAAGACAGTGTGGAATGGGGGGGTGAAGAGAAAAGGATAGAGAAAGATAGCTAGAGAACAAATAGAGAGGCATGACATTAGTGGGACATAGATATGGCTTATTAACTGTTGATGATGACGTGTATAGTATTCTCAACTGGATTGGTCTGAGAAGTATTTCACAATGGGCAAAGTCTTTTTACAAGCAAAATGAGAAATAGTGACTGACTGTTTACATTATGATGATAATAAAAATTTTTTTAAAAAGTTATCTGTAAATCATTTTTTTAATTGCCAGGGGGCACATGCACTCACCAAGAGAGAAACAGAGAAAGGGAGACAAAGTACCCCCTCAATGGGGCATGGCCACATTGCATTTCTTTCTCTGCTTCTCCATCCTGTCAGGATTTGGACCATGTGTGCAAACATGCCAGGCATGTTTTTCAAGCTGCTGAAGCCAAATTAGAGTATGCAGGATCTGACTCCTTTAATCACTAGGCCACAAGGCAGCCCTGCAAATGATCTTTTTCAGGTTGAGAAAGTTCTTACTATTCTTATTTTGCCAGGTTTGTTTTTATATTATTTTATTTTATATTTTTATTTTTGCTATAGGGCACACTGCACATACCCAAGAAAGATGAAGACAGAGAAAAAAAGTGAGAAATCACCCTCCCCAGGGGGGATAGCCACCCATAATTCTTTCTCCTCCAGTCTCAAGATTTTGGGTACTAATGCACATGAACCCAATGTTATTTTCAAGTCACAGGGTCTGGAACTTGAACCACACCATCACCTTTTGCAATCCATCCCACTTGCTGCACTGCCTTCACCCCCTTTTTAAAACACACATGGGTGTTGGAACCAGCAGATGGCATAATGGTTACGTCACTGGATTCCCACATAGTCTACCACAGTTTGAGTGCGGGCTTGGCAACTTTAACTTACGCCTGGCACATAAATGTGTATGTCCAAGATCCTGAGAGGAGAATGGAGAAGGGATTGCATCATGAATATCCCCTCTAGGGAGTGATTTCTCGTTTTCTGTCTCTCTGTCTCTCTGACGATTGCATGTACCCTGTAGTAAAAAATTACTCTTTAAAAAAAATAGATGGGTGTTAATTTTTTTTAACTTTAGTTTGCTACAGGATGTGTGTGCTCACTGGAGAGAGACAGAGAAAAAGAGAGAAAAATTGAGAAATTACCCCCAGGGAGGATGGCCACGCTAGAATCCCCTCTCTTCCATTCTCCCAGAATTCTGGGCACACAGCAATATATGCCTGCTATGTTTTTCAAGTTACCAGCTCCGGAACTAGAACTGTTCAGTCAGCTCTGTGGGACCCAGCTGCCTTAACCTCTGTATCACCTGCTGCCCCCTACATAGGGAATTGTGATGAATGTTTTTCTGCATTTGAGATGATTACATAGATGTTCTTTGTAAACATACTAAATTCACTGCTTGAATTGAAAATGTGAAAACAGTCTTGCTTTCCTAAAGAAAAATCCACTTGAACAATATGTAATATCTTCTTGCATGGTGTTGAGTTAATTTAATTTGCTAATATGGTAAGAGTTTTTATGCCTATGTTCATAATAGATTATAGTTGTTTTCTTCTTTTTCTCTGAATATCTAATATTTTTCCATGTCACCTATATTCATGAGATTGCTTTATGTGTCAATCGGTGCCTTATACTGTATACAACAAAATTTCTTTCTCATTCAAATCTCACGCTGATTTAACCAAACTGGTAAAACGGGTCCCATAGCAATAAGTGAGACTTCAGATTCTACCTTGTGAGAAACAAACGAAACTAGAAAAGGGGTATGCAAAGATGTCGGCTCCCTATAAATGAGAAATTGCCCACTAGGTCAGTACATTTCAACCTTACATTGACTAGATTTGTTTTCAGAAGGACCATGCTATTTTAAGTCAGAATCTCCTTAGCTTTCTATGCTTTCTCATTAAAAGACTAAAAGCAAGTATTTTATGACTACTGGCCAAATGTTCTTGTTCTCTGTTGCAGTCTCTCAACACTGCCACTGGAGAGCTAAAGCTGCCACAGATGAAAAGTTAAAAAGAATGACTGTGTCCCAATGAAATTTTACTTACAAAATAACGGGTCGGCCCAAGGACCACACTTTGCCAGTGAAATGGTCTAAAACCATCAACTACAGCATAAAAATATCCTTTCATTAAATGTTTAAAAGGACTAACATAACATTTGTTTTCAAAATGACAAACTGTTCTTTATGGCTTATTTTTTTTCCCCTGTCCACATTCTTCCATACTTATTTATGCCTATTTGCAAGATCATTATCCATCTTATTATTTTAATCGTTATTAAATAATTTTGAATTTTTTGTTATGGTCTCCACATACAACATGTATTTGGATTTCTTCTTTTCTCAGTTTTCAAGGTTTGGGGTTTTTAAATTATGTCAAAAGCACTAGAAGTTTGTATTATTATTTGAAGAATATATGTTATGAATGTGAGAAGTAAATAAATAATGGGTAGATATCTAGAATAAATATAAATAGACCAAATGATTTCCTAGCATTACAAGGACAGTTTTAACCATTATTTCTAAGCATTGAGCATGAAATAGGTTTAAAAGAAACAATAGTAGATAACATGTGAGCATAGACTGATCATTAATTCTATATGAAAAGTAAAAATAATAGTTTCATTTCTGTTAACAGACGTGTCAAATTAAAAGCTATCAAAAATATTTATAGTAATTAGCGAATGTTGACTAGTAAAACTAATTTATAATTTTAATGACAGATAAAACATATTCCTTGGGTCCAGCAGGTGGAGTGGTGGTTAGGGCACGAGACTGCCACATGGCTGACAATGGTTTGAGTCCAGGACATAGTGGATTGCTTTCTCACTCTCCCACCTCCTGACTCTCTCTGGTCAAATTTAAAAATAATAATAATAAATAAAATTACATAATTTTATTTATTTAAATTACATAATTACATAATTCTAAAAAAAATTCCTATATTTTTGCATTTAATGTCCTATTTAAATTACTTCTTCACATTTAAAACTTTACAAATAATGCATTAGTGTAATTAGCACCAGTCCTTGAGAAGTAAAAAACTAAGTAAGTTTTCTTTATTTGTCTTACATATAATATTAATCAGGGAGGGAAGGAAGAAAGGAAAAAAAGAAGAAGAAATGAAAAAGAAAGAAAGGAAGAGAAAGGAAAAGGAGAGAAAAGGAGAGAAAGAAAGAAAGAAAGAGGAAAGGAGAGAAAGAAAGAGGAAAGGAGAGAAAGAAAGAAAGAAAGAGGAAAGGAGAGAAAGAAAGAGGAAAGGAGAGAAAGAAAGAAAGAAGAAAGAAAGGAAGAAAGAAAGAAAGAAAGAAAGAAAGAAAGAAAGAAAGAAAGAAAGAAAAAAGGAAGAAGAATGAAGACCTAGAATCCTATATAATTTGCTTTATACAATAAGATGAGCTCATGCTATCCAGTAATTGATACTTTCTGCCCACTGTGATTATGCCCTGTAGTAAGCACATTGTAACAACCTTTATTGTTAAAATTTTGCAAGACAAAGTCACAAGTAGCATATAAAGATCAAATAGATCCAGGTGTCCTGAGACTTCTTATCCTCCAGGTCTTTACCCAGAACAGATCTGACCATAACATCTCATTCTGGACCACTGTGCAGAGCCGCTAGCACACACACACACACACACACATACACACACGAAGAACATCATCAAAGGTGACATCATAGAAAGTTTTCTGCAAAACCCCTGAATTCCTAGCCCCAAACCCTCATGTTGTCACATTCATGACTTCTGTTTAAAAGCCCTGCTTGTCCCTCAATCATAGAGACAGCACTTCTTTTTCTTTTTCTTTTTCTTTTTTCCATTCAATTATTGTGTGTCATTATGGCACGGAGACAGTACTTAATGGGTCTTGAACTCTACTGCTCTCCCAGTAGATATCTTCCATGATAAAGCCTTCCACTAATCAAACTCTCATTGTCTCAGATATTGCCTTACTGTGGGAGGCCCGGTGTACACATTTATCTAGTAACCACTGGCTTCATAACTAACCATGCTCAAGGGCACAGATTTAAGTATCTTACTAAAAATATCAGTTTCCAGGACCAGCAGTAAGCGTAATGGCTATGTCGCTGGACTCCCATGTAGTCAACCGCAGTTCGTGTCCCGGACCTAGTGGCTTAAAACTCACACCGGGTTCAGGATCAGCAGTTAGCATAATGGCTATGTCGGTGGACTCCCATGTAGTCGACCGTGGTTCACATCCTGGACCCAATGGCTTAAACTCAGGCCAGGCGCATGTGCGTGCCTGCCCAAGATCCTGATAGGAGAATGGAGGAGAAGGGATTGCGGCATGGCCATTCCCCTGAAGAGTGATTTCTCACTTTCTGTCTCTGTCTCTCTCTGTCTGTCTGGCGAGGACACGCACCCTATAGCAAAAACCTCTTCAAAAAAAATAAATAAATAAAACTCATGCCGGACGTGCGTGCGTGCGTGCCCAAGATCCTGAGAGGAGAATGGAGGGGAAGGGATTGCAGCATGGCCATACCCCCAGGGACTGATTTCTTGCTTTCTCTCTCTCTGTCTTTCTCTGTCTGGCGAGCGTGCATGTCCTATAGCAAAAACCTCTTAAAAAAAAAAAATCAGTTTCCAAAAACTAAGAACTAAATTTTAGCTATACGTTTACAATATGCTATTTGTGAAACCTTTAGCAAAAGCTTGATTCTATGAACCTCACTTATCTTTATTTGCAAAATAGAAGAAATGAAGTTTTCCTTCTCTAAATTACAGAGTTTTGTGTTCACTTCAGCAGCGCCTATACTAAAATTGGAATGATACAGAAAGATTAGCATGGCCCCTGCACAAGGATGACATGTAAATTTGTGAAGCATTCCATATTTTTCGAAGATTGTAAGAAGAAACAAAGAATGGCATTATATAATAGTAAATAGGGTATTCCAGCAAAAAGACACAATGCTAATAAATATCGATGCACCAGCTCAGGAGCACCTAAATATGTGACAGAGAGACTGTTGGAGTTAAAAGGAGAGAGAGGGAGAAACACTATAATTGTTGGGGAACTCAACACCACATTTTCTCCTTTAGACAGATCTAGGCAAAAATTAAATAGAGAGATACAGGACCTAAATGATATCATAAATTGAATGGATTTTATAGATACATGTAGAACTTTCTACCCTAAGTCCACAAAATATGCATTTTTCTCATCTCAGCAAGGAACCTCTTCAAAAATCGACCCCATATATTAGGACACTAATCAACCCCTTACAAACTCAAAGGCATAGAAACTATATCCAACATCTTCTCTGACCATGATGGAATTAAACTCAAGATTAATTTCAAGAAACAACCCTGAAAATACACAAACACATGGAAACTGAACAACCTACTTCTGAATGACTTCTTAACTATAGAAGAAATTAAGTATAAAATCAAAAAATTTATGGAAACAAATGATAATGAGTACACAAGTTTCCATATCTATGGAACACGGCAAAAGCAGTCAAAAGAGGGAAATCCATAGCAATTAGTGTGCATAAGAAAAGGATGGAAGGATGGCAAATAGATAATCTATCATCATGCCTCAGGGAACTGGAAAAATAACAAAACAAAACAAAAACAAAACCAAAAACAAAAAGGCCAGGTGAAAAGAAATAATAAAGATTTGAGCAGAAATAAATGAAATGGAAAATAAATGAGCCATACAGAAAATAAATGAAAGAAAAAGCTGGTTCTTTGAAAAGATTAACAAGATCGACACACCATTGGCTAGACTGATCAAGAAGAAGAAAGAAAGAAACCAGATTAATCAAATATGCGATGAAACAGTGATGAAACAGGCAACATTACAAAGACATAATAGAATTACAAAATATCACTAGAGGATACTATGAGTGACTATATGCCAACAAACAAGATAACTTGAAGGAGATGGACAAATTGCTGGATGTGTATAATCTATCAAGATTGAATCAGGAGGACATAGAAAACCTGAATAGATCCATAACAAGCCAACAGACTGAATCAGTAATTAATAACCTCCCAACAAAGAATAGCCCAGGTTGAGAAGGCATCACTTCTGAATTCTACAAAACTTTTAAGGAAGAGTTAATCCCTATTCGACTCAAATTATTTCTAAAGATTCAAAAGGAAGGAAAAAATTCATTTTATGAAGACTCCATCATCCTCATCCCCCAAACAGATAAGGACATGACAAAAAAAGAAAACTACAGACCAATATCATTGATGAATATAGATGCAAAAATTCTCAACAGGATACTTGAAAATTGTATCCAGCAACATATAACAAAGTTTATTCACCACGACCAGGTTGGCTTTATCCCAGGGATGCAAGGGTGGTTCAACATACACAAGACCATAAATGTAATACACTATATTAATAGAAAGATGAAAATCATATGATGATTTCAATTGATACCAGAAAGCATTTGATAAAATAAAACATCCTTTCATGATTAAGACCCTCAGTAAGATTGGTATACAAGGGTGATTTCTCAACACAATAAAAGCCATCTATGAAAAACTTACAGCTAACATTAAACTGAATGGTAAAAAGTTCAAAGGTTTTCCACTAAGAACTGGTACTAGGCAAGGCTACCCACTTTCTCCACTGCTTTTTAATATAGTGCTGGAAGTCTTAGCTAATTCAGTCAGAAAAGAGAGCAATATAAAAGCCATTTGAATAGGCAGAGAAGAGCTGAAAATATCTTTATTTGCAGATGACATGATGGTATACTTTGAAGACCCAAAGGTCTCCCTGAAAAAACTTCTTGAAGTAATAAGTGAATACAGTAAAGTGGCAGGTTACAAAATCAACTTCCAAAAACCTATAGCATTTCTTTAGATGAACAAGTTGAACAAAGCAGAACTGAAGAAGGAATCCCTTTCACCATAGCCTCAAGGTGTATAAGATATCTAGTGATAAACCTAACTAAAGACCTTTATAAAGAAAACTATGAAAATCTTAAAAAGAATATTGAAAGTGACATAAAAAATTGCAAGGAAATCCCATGTTCCTTTATTGGAAGAATTAACATAATCAAAAAGGCAATCGTACCCAAATTAATCTGCAGACTTAATGTAATTCCAGTCAAAATACCAGAGATATTCTTCACAGATCTAGAAAAGACAAACATAGAATTCGTCTGGAATATAAAAGACCTTGTATTGCAAAAGCAATCCTATGCAGGAAGAGTGGAGTGGGAGGCATATCACTCACTGCTCCCAAGATATACTATAAAGCTGTGATCATCGAACAGCATGGTATTGGCACAAAAACAGACATGTGGACCAATGGAATAGAATAGAGACCCCAGAAATAAACCCCACAGGTTACAGCCAACTCATTTTTGATAACGGATACCAGTCAATCCACTGAGAAAAGGAAAACCTCTTTAGGAAATGGTGCTGGAAAAACTGGGTATCCACCTGTAGAAAGATGAAACTGAACCTCCATCTTTCACCATTAACAAAAAATCAACTCCAAATGGATCAAAGAGCTGATCCTAAGACCTCAAACAATAAAACTACTGGTGGAAAATGCTGGGGAAACTCTGGGAGACATTGGGATAGGCAAAGACTTCTTAAATAAGACTCCCAAAGCACAGGCAATAATACTTAAAATAGACAAGTGGGACTATATCAGACTAAGAAGTTTCTGCACAGCAAAGGACACAGTAACAAGTGTGAATTGACAACCCTCAGAATGGGAGAATATTTTTGTAAAATATGCCTCAGACAAGGGACTGATAACCAGAACATACAGGACACTCAAGTGCCTTAGGTGAAAAAGAAAAAAAAAAAAAAAGAATTATTAACCCAATTAACAGATTGTAAAATGAGTTGAACAAAAATCTCTCTAAAGAAGACATACAAACAGCCAAAAAACATATGAGAAAATGCTCAACATCTCTCGTCATAAGGGAGATCCAGATTAAAACTACAATGAGCCTCACCTAACCCCTGTACACTCAAGTGCCTTAGGTGAAAAAGAAAAAAAAAAAAAAAGAATTATTAACCCAATTAACAGATTGTAAAATGAGTTGAACAAAAATCTCTCTAAAGAAGACATACAAACAGCCAAAAAACATATGAGAAAATGCTCAACATCTCTCGTCATAAGGGAGATCCAGATTAAAACTACAATGAGCCTCACCTAACCCCTGTCAGAATGGCAAACACTAAAAATATAAAAAATAATAAGTGTTGGCAGGGATGTGGTGAAAAGGAAACTCTCCTACATTGTTGGTGGGAATGTAAACTAGTTCAGCCACTGTGGAGAACAACATGGAGGTTCCTCAAAGATATACAAATAGAACTACCATTTGATCCAGCAATCCCACTTCTGGGTATCTACCCAAAGGACTGAGAACGCTCAGTCAGAAAAGTGCTTGCACATCAATGTTTATTGCAGCATTATTCACAATTGCTAAGACATGGAACCAACCCAAATGTCCACAAACTGATGAATAGGTTGAAAAACTGTGGCACATATATTCTATGGAATACTACTCAGCCAAGAGAAATGAGACCCTGGCATTTTATAGAAATTGGTCAGATATGGAGGATCTATTGCTGAGTGAAGTAAGTCAGGATATGAGAGAAAGACATTGTATGTATCCACTTAATATATATTGACTGTCCACCCTTTATGGTAGAGATTGAAATATTGGAGGGCATAAAAGCAGTGAAAATAGCGATGATAAAACAGTGTGGAACAGGGCAGGAGAAGAAAAAAGTATGGAGAAGTATGGCAAGAGAAGTATGACTATTACCTATTGATGATACCGTGTATAGTATTCCCAACTGAACTGGTTTGAAAAGTATTTCATGTTGGGTAGTCTTTTACAAGCAAAATGATAAATAGTGATTTAATGTTTTAAAAAATAATTAGAATAATAATAATAATAATCTGGAAAAAATAATGAAAAGCTATTGGATGATGATGATAGGGATTTTAATGTGTTTGTATTGACAGATATGCATGGTATTCCTTCTGGAAAAAGAAATGTAATACACTGCAAAGTTAGATGTGGTTCAATGTAATGTAAACAAGATTATAATAATAATGAATAAATTTTTAAAAATAAATAAATTGCAGGTTTTTTTAAAAAAAGTCAAAGTGCATAAATCTAAAATTTTCTAAACAATAAATTAGTATACAAATATAAGATTTTGTGGAACTATGTTTTCTGTTTTTGTTACTTTCCAGAAGGCATGTGTGTTCATGAGAAAGTCATTCCCAACCCAGTCAAACAGGGCATGTCCTTAATTTCTCTATTTTGTCAGAATTTGAGGCATACACATACATGTACCCAGGGTGTTTTTCAAGCCACCAGGGCAAGGATTCCAACTATGGTCAGCCATGTGGGATCCAGCCCCCTTAACCACAAGGTCCTTGAACAATGTTTTCAATCTGTTGTTGTTATTCCTCAGGACATGAACCATAATTTTAATAGTTACAACTTTGAAGTTCAATGTGACACTAAGATATTCATATCTAACCAATGACAAAGATGCACTAGAACAACTAAAGAGTAATCAGAAAAATTTATAATGATAATCAATTTTAAAGTTTGACTACCTTGAATTTTTTTAAATTTAAAATTGTCTATTCATTCATTTATTTTAATTTTACTAGAGAGAGACAAACAGAGAGAGAAGGGGGGAGGAGAGTGAGAAAACAAGCTACCAGTTCCAGAATTTGAACTCTGGTTGGACATGTGAGAGTGTCCAACACCTTGACCACCATGCCACCTGGTGGTTCCCCCTACCTTGAATATTTTAGTAAATTAAGTATAATGTTTATGAAACAAATACATAAACTACCATTTTATTTTCCCGTATTGAGAGTCAGCCCAT